CTCTTAAAGTGATTTCCTCTCCTGATGAGGACGGTACCTATACTGCCTCCTGCTTTGCCAAAGAGTTTGCACCAAAGAAACATGAGATCAAATGGCTACAAAATGGAGCAGACGTCACCAGCAATATAGATCTGATCAGTACAGTTTCTGAATCAAAAAAGGCAAATGGAAAGAAAGTGTACAACGCAGCAAGTTTTCTCACAGTAAATTCCAGTGATGTAAATGAACGAACTGCATTTATGTGTATTTTTACGGGAGGTCAAAGCACATCTTTGAATAAAACTGACAGAGACAACACAGTTGGTGAGAAACTGGTACTTATCTTCATACAAACATAAGCAGTATGATTTTGTAATTAAAAAAAGTAATGCCATAAAATCAGGTAAGCCAGCTAAGTCATATGGGATTAGTCATTAGTCTAGTAGTTTTAGTCAGTTCTAATGTACTGATATGAAAGTGTTAATGATGTATTAAAAAAAAATTCATCCAAAATTTGATAGAATATTTAAAAATAATGCAAAAAAATGTAGAAGCTGTTTGATAGCCAATACACTGAGGGTTAACACATAATACTTCATCTTTTTTAACAATAAACAATAAAACAATAAAATTGTTTTCTTTTTCTCCTCATCAGATATTTCCACAACTGCCGATCCGAAAAACAGTATGTTACAATTACACGCACATCCATCCATCTATCAGCCTACATTTATACATAACTCAATGTCTTCTATTTAAATTGGTACATAAATCTCTCTATTTAACTGAGTATCTCTTTCAGATGGGACAACAGTGACAGTCCACACCCTCCCACAGCTGCACACTGACCCATTAAATGCTAAAGATGAAATCACTCTGGTGTGTCTAGTCACCAGTACTGTGAATAAAATATATAAAATCGAATGGACAGAAAGTTATGGACAAAATTCTGGACGTTATCTTAAAGGCACCGACGTCCCTCTACAGCAGAGCAAAAATGACAAGAAATGGCGAAGTATGAGTCTTTACACCACCACCAAGGAAAACTGGTACAAAAACAATCCAACCAAAATGTTCACCTGCCATGTCCAACCTGGAAATCTTAAAAAATCAGTGTCCGTCGCCCATGGTAAATCCATAGAAAGTGACTGTAACTACTAAGCTTTAAATATGATATTTTGTGCTTTTGTCATTCTTTGTCTGTGAGAGTTTTCTATATGAAAACTTGTGCACTTGTGATGTCAGTCACTGTGAGACAAATGCTTGCTTTTTGTTGTCATCGTGTTATTTTTCAACCTGTCTGAGTCACAGTGTCCAATTGCTTTTATGTGTGATGTCTGTTTGAAATAAACGTTGCATGGAGACTCTTTGGTATATGTGTATATGGAAAACTCGAAACAACACTAAAATCAGACATACACACAAAGTGTTCAATTTTTCACTTTTCCATTAACACTAGAGGAAAATTGTATTACTCTAATAAACAAAAAGAAAACAGATTCACATAGATCTCCTCTAACCAAGTGTACTGTATCTTCCACTTCTTAGATGACTTTTGTGATCTGAGTTGGGACAATATCATCACTGAAGACGATTTTAGCAGCCTGTGGTCCACAGCTTCCTCCTTCATATTCCTCTTCATATTATCTCTGTTGTACAGCATAATTATCAGCCTTCTTAAGGTAAACATTGAGATTGTGTTTTCTGCATTTCAGTTTTATTGAAGACCAAAGTCTGTGAGTTGCAATGTAGGATACATTTAATTACAAGAAAATGCAGTACATGGAAACTTAAAAGAATGCTCAAAGATCAAATTATTAAAATAAATTAGGAATTAAGAATTTAATGTTCTGTTTGCACTTTTTAAAAGCACGCCTTTATCATGAAAATTATATAATTAGCTTTTTAAAGGAGGAAAAAAATGAGTGTAATTTAGAAATGTTTAGGCTATAATTTATTCCAGAACTATCTCCTGTAATAAGATTCATTAAGATGTAAATTCAGGGTAAATTAAGGTTTACTAGTAATAGTAATTAAATGACTGGTCTTAACAATTTTTTTTAAACTTTCTGATGTTTTTATTTTGCAGATAAAGAGATGATAACAAATGGGATGGAATGGGTGCACTTCATTTCTAATCTGTTTTTAAAATGTATTTTTCATTTTATTTTTATGCACATAATCATTTATTTTTATTAAATGGGTGTCATATATAAATACCCAATTAAGAGATGTACAAAAATGTGAAAAAAAAAAGGTAAATAAAATGAAACTACATATTAAACTGCATCTTATGGTCATTTCACTTCTGTAAATGCTTCATTAAATTAAAGTTAGGTTGATAAGATTCAGTAAATAACATTTGGCACTTTAAATATTAAACAGAATATGAATGTGAGCATGTAATAAACATTGAAAGCATTTTTGATGTCACTCTATCATTTCTCGAGGTTTCTAAGAATAACACAACAGCATTTGAACTCAATGTACCGTAAACCTCTGTTATCAGTTAGAGCCTGGAGGTTTTGAGTTTCCTGCTGCACCCATGGGACCACACCTGCACAACTACAACTGTGCACCAACCATTACAACTGTGACATCTGGCAGCTTATTGTATTTGCATCTTCATAGTTCATTTGTGTCACATTTCCAAATTCCTGTTATCAATTAAGGCCTGATGTTTTTCAGTTTCTAAACATGTCATCTTTAGAGAGCTGCTTCTCTGCACGTTTGGGGCCACATTTGTATAAGTGGATTTCTTCAAATCCCAAAAAACATCTTGTTAGATTGCACATGTATCCAGCTATAAGTTGATACACATGCCTTCAGAAGGCATACATGCTTGCAGACAAAAAGAATATATGCTCAAAATGTGAACACTCCCTCTTAAACTGCATTCATGAAACTATATAAAAAAACAAAACACCCAGCACGCCCCTGCGGGCGGTTTATCCTTCAAGCTCGGGTCCTCTACCAGAGGCCTGGGAGCTTGAGGGTCCTGCGCAATATCTTAGCTGTTCCCAGGACTGCTCTCTTCTGGACAGAGA